GGTCTCTGAGACTACCGAGGTCGCTCACATGGATGATTTTGGGGACCCAGTCTACGCGACCAAGGAGCAGATTGAAGCTGCCAAGCTCTTGCCATTCAATCAGCGACTTTACAATATGCCACGGGGAACCGTTGGTCCGGATTTCTATGACGAGGGTCAGGATGTGCAAGTCCCGGCTGAGCCGTCGAAGGCTGATCAGACAATGCCGGATGCAAGTGTGCCGGAAGTCATTGAGATTGACGACACCTTTGCGCCCAGCGCTGATTCGCCTCCGGGGACGGAAGGTCGAGATGCAAACAACCAGGCTCCCGTGAGCACTCCGGGCATGGAGTTCGTGTCTGTCACCGCTGATATGCCAAAGCACGGTGACACCGAGGTGGACCCTGTGACCATCACGGAAGAAGAGGAGCTCCATGTATCCAATGAACCCATTGCGGATGAAAACTATGTCAATGAACTTCTCAAAGATCACCTTGATTCCGCCATCAAACAGGGCTTTGAAAACAAAGATCAGCCAGATGATGACTCAGATGAAGAAATTGTTTTCAAGGAACCGATCCTCACATCTATGCATGCCGACTCATGTCAGGTCGCGGGTGTCACCTACCAGTTGAGAAAGAAGGAGGATGAAAGCGATGTCATTCGTATCTACATGGCAGAAGAAGACATCCCGCAGCTCACTGGTGAGGCGCTCAGAAAGTTCCGCGAGGTTACTACTTTGGGGAACGAGCCCGACCTGGCCAACAAGGCACCACAACAAAGGATCCCGAAGGCGAAAGCATCAGGTGAGCCGGGGGCGCCAAAAGCGCCACGTGAGACTGCAAAGTCAAAGACTAAACCGGCATCACCGAAAGCAAAAGCACGCCCGGCGGGAGCTGAGGCCGATGTTGAAATGAAGCCAACAGAGGAAACTCAGCCCAAAGTACCAAAACGCCCGGCGGGAGCTGTGGCCTCGGATTCGACCCCGACAGCAAAACCAGCTGTCAAGGCCAAGGCCATGCCTAGGGCACCACCGGTGCCTCCCGTTTCATCGCCTCTTGGGGAGAACGAAGTTGTGGCATTGCAATCAAGATCGGTTCCGGGTGCTGCCAATTTGGCGAACCTGAACTCGAAACAAGTCTGGATTTCCCGACGCGTCTCGGGCTTGCTCCGAGGGTGGGAGCATAGCAGACAATCCTGGCACAAGGTGCAGCCTCCGAGCTTCGACGCTGGGCTGTGGATGGATTTTGGCAAGGTGTACTCATTCATCAAGCGGAAGTACGATGTCAACCTGACCAACGATGAACTGCTGACGGTCATCACATCCAATCACAGATTCATGCTCGAGGTGAGGATTGCGCCAAAGGGGACTTTGGTCGGTGGAAAATACCAATATACACCTCTCCGGATCAAAGCGATTCAGAACCATAATGAATGGTCAAACAACAATGTGAAGGATGCACTTCCTGAGCATGAACGCTTTGTCACTCTCGATGAGGAGTATACTTCGGTGGAATACCTGGCCGGCAAATTCCCTCGGGTTCCGCGAGGTGCGCTGGGAAAGGTGAAGGAGGTGGCCCCCACCATCCTCTATCACTACACGCACCGGGCAGCACTGGTTGAGATCATCAACATGGGATTGATTCCCGGCGGCAATCGGACTGGAGCCAGGTTCACATTCTTGACGAAGGAAGATCCGTGGACAATTTCGGGCACTGACTATGCAGCGATGGCGGCGACTCGCCCCATCTGTGTTGCCTTGGATCTCCAGATGATGATTTTGAACGGGCACCGGCTCATTGAGACAACTGCTGGTACAATCCTATGCCCTGACTGGCTGGCAAACCGGAACGTGATTTACGTGTATGACATGGAGTCCCGATGCTACGCCTTCGCGAACCATGTGTACGCACACTATCGCGGCATCATCACCGGTGAAACAAAAGCCTTCAATTCAGCACGCACTGGGGGACCAGTTGCCGATGACGATGAAATGGTGAAAAGCCCACTGGAGAAGTACACCTACCAGGTCCTTGGTGACTATGAGAGGTGGTGCGGTAAGGTGGACACTTTTTCCCCATTCGTGTACGGTGAACTGTTTGAACGCCCAGGCGTGAAAGACCAAATGATATCAGGAAAGCAGAATCCTGATTTGGAAACATACGAGGTCACGTATGTCGTTCGCAGGCCCAATTTCAACGCCTACAGGAACCAAGTGTCGCCCAAAGAGATGCTGCCCAACTACAACCGACCTCGGTTTGATTGGCGCAAGATCCACCCCGAGACTGAGGGTTATGGCAACACTCGATGGATGGTCGTTGAGGGCATTCAAATGCCAGAAGCTCAGTGCCCAACATGCACAAATACCTACACCCATGGCATGATGTCCTGCATCACTTGCGGCACCTTCCTCAACAATGCCTCGGATCTGTGTAAAGCTGCTCAGCTCATTCGGATCGAGGAAATTGCAGCAGATCTCGGTATCGAAGTCACGATGGACATGGTACCTGAGGACAGGCTGCAAGGAACAGGTGTGAGGAGGACGCCGGCGGGGACGCCTGGCCATGAAGTTCAACGTGCTTCTCGTTCGGGCATCAACATCTTGAAAGCGAACGCCAAAAGCCATGTCCAGAAGGCGGACAAGATGTCCATGACGGTATCGCAGCGACAGCTGATTGACGCTTTCTACGCGTTCAACTGTGCAGCCCAGGACCTCTCTCCAATCTGCATTCAATTCCTGGAACGACTATCAGATGCCATCATCCCTGACCCTCCGAGGACAAGGGAAATGATTGCTCGTGGCATCGGTCATCGATACGCTGGCAAGGTCATCTTCATGAACGAACCAGCAAAAGGGAATGATGCTGACCTGAGCGAGGACTTCTTCATTTATTGGAAGAACAGGCTGCACCGCCCTGAGACTTTCGCTGCGGACTATTGTCAAGGTGCAAAACGACCCGCAATCCTGGGATTTGGAGGTGAGTGGCGAAGTGAGAAGACGGACCCTGATGATGTGTTGGATGAACTCCTGGAATTCGTGATGGGCGATGCTCAATTTGTACCTGGCTTGGATATCAACCTTGTGAAAGAAACAAGGGCACTTGTGATTCCCAAGGCCAAGGCCGCACCAGGTCCAGGTGAAAGGGCAACACGTACTCAGGCCGAGACATCAGAGCAACGCTGGCGAGGAGCTGCCGGAAGTGATCAATACCATGATTGGCAGCAGTCATCCTCATCGTCTTCCTGGTGGTCCTCATCCAACCGCAACTGGTGGCAAGATGATCGCGGTCGTGGCAGTGACTGGCGAGGACACGACTGGTGGAGTCAGCGCAGGTGGTGAACACGACGCACAGCGGGAGCTGTTGCCTGTGGAGAAGAGAATAAAATCTACGGGTGACTCGGCTGTCTTTGTGCACTGTGTTTTCCCTCAACGCACCGCGGGAGCGGTTGCCTGGATGACCGTTTCTGTGATGCACCGGGGGACCGGATGCCTGAAACCAGCAGCTAATTCGTTTGAGTTCAGGTCGATGAACTTGGCTCTCAATCCTTGCAATGAAGAGCGCACATCTTTTGTTGTGCTTTGTCGCCACGCGGGAGCGTGTGCCTTGATGGCTTTGCTCCTGCTTTCTAAAAGGTTGGCATTGCACTCCCAGTTCCGCTGCGCAAAAGAGATTATCTTTGTGAGCTTGCTTTGAACTTTCATGCATGAATCAGTTGAGACATGTTCAACCCTAGCATCAAAGCATGACAGTGCAAGATGTGATCCGTCCTTGAGGTCAACCATCCTCTCCATCTCAAGGTACGTTCCGGTTCGATGCTTAGCACGTACCGGGGGACCGGATACCTTCGTAGATCCTTAATTAATGCACTGTACATAACTTCACTCCTCCCATTTTCGTTCAGCGGGGGGTGTTGTTTCACGCTAGGATGTCGTATACATGTCTCACTTTACTATCGTTTGGCTCAAGGAAAACCAGGTGCGACTTGTTGGTAGTTATCGGTCGTTTACCTGTATCTACACTTATACATATACATATAGCCAACAATGTCTGCAAATTGATACAACTTGGACCCCCTGAAACATGTACAATTTCAACTGGGTCAAATAATGGAGTGATTATGTATATATATATATTTATATTTATATTTACATCTAGACAGACAGTAAACTGTACAATGCACATGGCCGACGCAACACTGAAAGATGCACGCAGGATGGAGTTGATGAATAAAAAGGAAAGTCTCTATAATAGCCCTTTTTTGGTCTTCTTTACAAATTGTTTAGTTGTGCTTTCCTTACAATTTGCAAGCATTGTTGGACATTTTTCTTGCCCACCCATGAAATTGTACATTTTTGAGGGTGTCAAAGTTAGTATATTCGCAAACATTTTGTACAATAGAGTGCGCCAGTGCAACCAGCTGATGCATATGATGCCATAATACACTAGACAATTGCAACCAGCTGATGCACACAATGCAATCATGAAAATTATATTAAGACACAGACAATTGAGAGGAATCCTTTGTCGTTTTTTCATAGACCACGTGATGCAAATGATGCGATAATAAGAAAACATCAGACATAAGTTATATGTGAAAACCTTTACATTTTTTCCTCACTCACTCCCAGACACACCTCATGATGCAGGATGCGCATTTATGCCACCCACACCCCCACACCCGCATAGCGAAAAATGCGTTCCAACAGTGTAACGCCTCTTAGCACCTTCTGTGAAGGCTGTTTTTGAGGTGCAGGATTTCATCCTTTAACAATTGAAGGCTGAGCGGTGCCAACATATTGCCCAGTTCTTAGTATTCGATAAGGAGAAACCTTGTGAAACCTGGGAAGCTTAGAAGCCTGAACTCAAACTGCACAGTGGATTGAAGTGGACGTGGGGTTGCCCCTGTACGCATTGATCACATGATCACAGTTTTGTTTAGCATCATGGAGCGTACCCATCCCCTTCAGGAGCCAGTAGCGTTCTGTTGCACAACAAGCCTGCAGATCGCCATTTTGCCAGGAGCTTGCGCCGCGGGCGAAGAGCAAAGATGAGAGGCCGGTTTTTGGTCGCGCCGGCACGTCCGACGCGGGAAGTGGACCACAGGTTCCAGGAATGGTACCTGGCACTGGTCCTTGATATATTGTTCCCGAACGTCATTGCTAGGAGCAGGCAACCTCGATCTACTTGCAAGCCATCTCTGTGGGCTTAGATCCGACGCTTCGATCCGAAGACTCAACCTTCTTCATCGACTCAAGACAGATCCTCCGGACCCGTGAGCAGGCAACGCCAGCTGCTTTTTAATCAATTTCACGATTCTTGTTGTACCAGGTAACAACTGCTGGATGGTCCACGCGCGGGCTTTGGGGGGTGATGTTATGTTTTCATGCGAGTGGAAGGATGTTTGCAATCTTCCCCCGGCGACTTGGGACCCACCTGTGAAGGCGTGAAGACTTACTGATCCGTCAAAAGTGGTTGCTGAATGGCCGGCTGGCATGTCCTGCGAACCCTGAGGCTGGCTCCGGTTGAGGCCAAGGATACCCAGGTGCAGGAGGTCGCCGAAATTGCACAAGAGGAGCCCAAGGAGGAAGAACCCAAGCAAGACCAGCCAGTGGTGCACACTGCATCGCCCCTTGGGTTTTGGAGACGGTGTTTTGGTGCGGGTTCGCAAGTTGAAGCGGGGTCAACCAAACCTTTGTTTCCCATACAGTGTGAGAGCCGATTCATCAACCCAAGTTGGGGTGGCTTGAAGGCAAGCTTTGCTTGGAACTGGTCCACGGAAGTGGCCATGGGCATTTGGCGCATCCATTTGGATGCACCATAAACGGCTGTGGTGATGACTCAGAATCTGAATTGAGGGCAGTTGAAGACCTCAAGATCTCTTCTTTGTTGACATTTTGACCGCTCACTCATTTGTTGCCACCATATTTTTGTGGTCAACTCTCAGCCTTCAATGACAGCCTCCAAGGCCATCAGAAGCACAGGTGACTTGGCTGAGAGGCGGTTTGGCCTCCACAAATGAGTGTCGAATTCACTGACAGGAGGACTTCCATTTGCATACATCGCAGTTGCTAGGGCCATTGCTTTGTGGTGAGCTGGATGTTGGTGTTAAAGCTGCTGGATGGCCAGGCTTACTTTAGTTCTAAGTCTGACTTTGTTGGTGAACATGTTCGGCATCCATAGAGGACGTTCAGCTGGGCTTCAGCTGCTTTAAACTTTGGGAGCGGCGCGTTCGGTGTTTTGGGCCTCACAAGGGAGGCACTTCGGTCCAGTCTTGGGACCGAAGGGTCTTGCCGTGCAGGCCGTGCAGTTGACCGGCTTCATCGGCAGCAGCAGTGGCCGCTTGGGCGCACGAAGAAAGGCGCTTGGCTGTGCGTGTTTGGACGAAAGGTGCGAACAAACAGAGCACTGAAGTTGTGAAGCTTGGGGGTTAGAAGATGCGGATTTATGGATGCTGAGAGAACATGCCTTCTATCCTCTTCATCGGGGCCATATCAACTTCTTCCACGGCAGAGTCCAGTATCCTCACGATAATCTGGTGCAGCTGCAGCTGCTTTCTTTCCGAAGAATCTGCAAGCGAGCATCGGAATGACCAGTGGGTCTCTATGTTTGGTACCCGTGGAGCCCGCGCAGCGACATCTGAGCGCGGCAAAACCTAAACCCTTCATGTCCAATTCGGCCGGTGCGGTCGAACAGAAGAAGAGCCGCCTGGAAGATGTTCGTTCACACCTCCGCCAAACAAAACAGCCTCCTTGCCCTTCTCGCCCCTTTTTCAACGGTGGGTATGGTGGTGGTTACCTACAGAAGAGCCCAGAACATGACCAAATCGGGTGTTTAGAGTTGACCCATCTGTAAGATGTAAAGGTGTTGAAGGTGGTATCCAAGGACACGTGAACTAAGCGCAGGGTGTTCCTGAAGTCGACCATGTTAAGTTGGCTGCCTGGGGGAATCACTGTATATCTTCCTTTCGATGAGTTGCTTAGTAAGTATGGGCTCAGGCCCCTGAATTCGATGGCATGTTCGAGCGGCTGGCCTTATGTCCAGCCATTCGGTGTGGCTTTCTCGAAGACGGGGTGCCCTTCGCCATGGCTGGAAGGGGGTTCCACGCGGAGGGGGCTCTCCAGATTGAAGCGTGGGCATCGGATGGTGTGGCTTTTTGCCGGGGCCGCACCTCTGCGTCTCAAGAGGGTCAAGAGAATCAACAGGCAGGCTGCCTGTCGGGAGGGCGCAGCAGCCAGACTCTTGAAAATCGGGAACCCAAGTCACAGCAGTTCAAGAAGTGCAGCGAGAAAGGTCTTGCTATCGTTGAAAGTGGTACCGAGGGTTTCTCAACAAATCTTGCAGGTGCTGGCGAAGCAGCGAGGCGCTGGCCTCACTGTTCTTGTGCTAGAGGTCTTGGGAGAGGAGGAGGTAGGAGGAGCAAGAGCGCTTGATGCTTCCAACTACAATCTGGGAATTTCTGCTTGTGCTCGCGCAAGCTGGTGGGGTAAGGCCTGTGGACTTCTTGAACACATGACACTCATCAGAGTGGAGCCAGACATCGTGAGCTTTAACGCGGCCATGAACGCATGCGACAAAGGCGGACAGCGGTGGCGGGCCTTGGAGTTGTTTGAGACCCTTCCTGTCGCGAAACTACAGCCAGACCTTTTCAGCTTGAACTCGGCCATCAGCATTTCGCAGAGGGCTCTTCAGTGGCAGCGGGCGTTGAGTATCTTCCATGATCTTCATGCGACAAAGCTTCTCCCCGATGTTGTGTCTTTCAATTCAGCCATCAGTGCAGCGGCCTCGGGTGAGCAGTGGCCTTTGGCATTGTTGCTCTTCAAGGAAATGCCACGATGCAAGATTAGCAGGGATATTGTTAGCTTCACCGCGGCCATGAGCGCGTGCGAAGAGGGGGGTCTGTGGCAAGATTGCTTGAGGCTGGTTGAGGCCGTCAGCGCTGCTCATGTCCAGCCCAATGTGCAGAGCTTCAGCACTGCCATTAGTGTGCTCGGACGAGCGGCGCAGACAGATGCTGCCGTCAGCTTGCTCGAGGCCATGCCAGAGGAGCACGGGATCAGCAGGGCATTCTTTTGGTTGGTCAAATCGAGTGGTCCGAAGAGTACTGCGGTTCCAATGTGTTATATATAACTAATTATAACTATATATTTATATATATATATATCTATACATACCTCTCTCTCTATGTGTGTATGCACATATTTACACACATACATGCATCCAGTATGACACAGCTAGGTGCAGCTTATCGCTAGGGTCACACCGAATGAAACCATGTCAGGAGGAAGTTCGCCCGAACGTCGTCAGCTACAGTGCAGCGCTCACGGCATGTGTTTGTGGTGTCCAGTGGTGGAGAGCCTTGAGCATCTTCGACTTGATGCAGGCCGAGCTGGAGCCAGATCTGGTGAGCTTGAATGCAGCCATCAGCGCTTGTGAGAAAGGCAGCCGCTGGGATCAGGCCTTGAGATTGCCCCTGGGTTTGCAAACAAAGATTTCTTTGACACTTCTGCCAGAACTCAGGGAATCTCCAGGGGATGCTTTGGGACTTGGAGTGTTTTTGGGGTATCGCCGGGGTATCTAGAGATTTCTTAAGACGTGCAATTGCATCCCCTTCGTGGAGATTGCCGTCAGGTTTTTCAACTTTTTGCACTTTTTGGCTCCTTGAAACCCAACTGGAGGTTCCACCACATCTCACTGGCCCGGATTGATCCCGATGGATTCAGCTTTACAGCAGTCATCAGTGCTTGTGGAGGAGGCCATCAGTGGCAAGAGGCCTTAGACATCTTTGAGTTGATGCCTGTCTCGGAGGTCAACCCTGACGAATTCATCGCCAGCGCAGCGATCGGCGCGTGCGGAAGGGGTGCCTTGTGGCTCCAGGCGATGGCGGTTTTTCATCAGACGCCGCGAGCAGAGACAGATGTGGGATGCTACGATGCTCTCATGACTGTGTTGGAAGGCAGTTCGCAGTGGCCCAAGGCCCTGATGCTTTATAACAACTTGCTGGAGAAGAAGCTTCAGCCAGATGGCATCGGCTACAGCGTTGCCATCAAGGCAGCTTTGAGGGCACGGAATAACTTTGACTAGGCCCAAGTCCTGATGCCAGGGGCACTGCAGCCCTGTCATCAAGGTTTGAACAAAGGCTCTTGGAGGCTCTTGGAGTCAAACCAGAAGGAGAGTAGGAGTGTCCCAGGCCTCTGAGAGCCGAAGGTGCTTCCATCAATGATCCCAAAGGAGCAGCACACCCATTTCACGAAGGGATGCCGTTGGTGGCTATTTCCTCGCACGAGAGGCAAGGCATGGCGGATATGGCTTGTCGCACTTGTTGGAAAAAAGCAGAACGCTTGAGAAGCTTCAGGGGTGCGGGGTGCTCACCGAATCTTGCACGACGCCTTTGGGCATCTTTTGGGTCCTTGTGCGACATGTGCAAGCCTGCGCTTGCAGCTGGCACTGCTTGACAGGAGTCCGAACGGTATGGAGTCCAAAAAGGCCTGGAACTCTCCGGCACAGTTTCCTCAGTCTCCTTGATTGCAGTTTTACTGATTAAGATAGACAGAGATGTGCGGAAGATGACATTATATGCGGAGAGGTGATTCCACGATGAGTTCCCCTTGCTCAGAGCCGTTGGTGTCTTCTTGGAGCTTAGGTTTGAACGGAACCTTCACAGCAGATGGCACGCAAGTGAACGGCAAGCAGGTGTACAGCCAGGGCCACTTGGACTCATTGGAATGTGCCTGCGTCTTGTACTCTTACACCAGTGCATGTCAAAACTAGGAGATCCTATGATGAGAGCTGAGCGGCATGCTGTGTTCCAAGGGTAGGAAAAGCACACTGCAACTTTGGGCCTTGTGTTCGATGTTATTGAACGCCTAGGCGACGGGAGTCTGGAGTGCTTGTGGTACCACAACGGGGCGTGGCGTGTTGGAAAGTACAACTGGCTTGCTAGCAAGGACTTAGGCAGCCGGGCGGAAGGGGGTTGGGCCCTGCACCCTCCTTCGACCTGGGGCCCGCTCCAGGTTGCACCATCCCCAAACATCTCCCAAACCATGCAGGTGGCGGTTGGCCCGTGAAGAAGACCACATACTGCTTCACCTGCTTCACCTTGCATTGGTGCGATTTTGGGCCGCGCACCCCACCGGGTCAAACCTCGGGCGCTGAGGCGCTGAGTGCTTCGACATGCCTCCCCTCGTGGGTCCCCTCCAGGTCGCTGCCACGCCTTCGTGAAGACCGAGGCGGACTTGGGCGACCTCGGCGCGGACGAGACCTGGATGAGCTGCCTCGGACCCGCCGGCGGCGACCCGGATGGCCAGGCCGCCAACACGGGGGGGGGGGGCCGGGAGCGAACTCATGGGAAGAACTCGGCGATAGTAGAAAGCTGTTTTGGGGAAAAGTTGGTTTCCAATGGGACCAGTCCAATTGTGGGTGACTCCCAGGAAAAAGGGTGGGTGTTTGTTCATAGTTGGTGGTCTTAGTCTTGGTGTTTGGCCACTGAACGAACGAACGTCAACCCGATTGCGACCACATTCGATGGCCAGTGGCTCCAGGAGAGCAGCTTATTTCAGCCGCAGATGAGTGCGAAGGCTGCGAAGATGGCACTCGACAGCATGATGAAGCGTGGCAACAGCAGCCCCGGCTGAGTTCAGGACTGCGTGAAAGAACTGGCTAAAGTCTGGGCTGGAGCCTCCTGTTTGGCAGTTGCTCGAAAACTTCAACCTTGAACCTTCTATTTTTTTGACGGTCATCCTGGTAGGATGGCGGGAGGGCACAGGAGGGTGTGATTCCTCCTTTGATTCCTCCTTTGTGCCATACTGCGTATCCACATCGGAGCGTCTCTCAGGCAAGAAGCTGACACCCACTGCTAGCAGCAACCGCCTCACCAACATCCTCACTGACCAGCATCTTGGGAGAGAAAAGCTCGGTTGAGAGTCTCGGACTTTGCAGATGGGACTGACAGGTGCAAACTCATGCGGATTTCAATACTATATATCTATATGTTGTAGATTATTCCATCAACACTTGCTGGCTGTCACCGTCCTCGTTGGCGCGGCCTTCCCGACAGATCTTCAGCTGGGCCCGGCCCGGCGACTCCTCAGCATTCTGCTCAAGTTCTTGAGCCCTTAGCCTTAACTTCAGCCCTGGGCCAGCTGCCGAATGGCAACTCTGGCTGCCAACTGGCTAGCACAAAATGGAACTGGAAGCCTGAAGGGGAAGGACGAGCAGGAGCCATCAGATGCCATAAGTCAGGTGCACCAAGACCAATATCGTATCAACATGTATCAGCCCCCTCTTGACTAGGATCTGACCCCCTTGCAGGAGCTGCGCCGTGCACTCCTGCAGGATTTGGACCAAACCTTTGGTCTTCAGGAGCGCCCTCCAGTGGTAGAGCAGGAGGTGGACCAATTCCTGGCCAGCGGCCGTGTCAGTGAGGCCAACCTGCGGCGGCTCCTGCGCCGCGCGGAGGCACGGCTCATCATCCAGGGCGTGCACTCCGACAGCGGGTACTCAGGCGCCACCTCCGCGCGGCCCCGTGCGGCGCCGCAGTCGGCCCGGGTGAGCCAGGCGCCCTCCGCGCCGCGGCTCACAGGGCCGCCGTCGGCGCGGGAGGTGAGCCGAGGACCACCGCCCACGGTGCCTGAGGACGACCTGTTGCGGTGGTCGTCGGTCGCGAGGCTGGCATGTAAGGAGGCGGAATTGGAAGCCCTTCAGAAACGAGAGGCCAAGAAACACGCGCAGCATGAGATCAGGACTGCTTTTCGGGGTGCTGTGGGTCCAAATGTCACACCAGGCGCAGCAATTGGGTTGAATCGTGGCTGGAGGACCCATTTGCAGCATCAGATTGATGAGAAGAACTCCAAGCGACAGAAGGCAGAGGCGCAGTGGAGGGTTTTTGATGGTAGTTTGGCTCGCTTGTGCTGAAGTCATCTTAAGTCGTCGACATGCGCATTCTATAGGGAAGGGTGTTTCAATCGAACCTACACCTCAAGGCAGGCAGGAGAGGGGAAGAGAATTCCCCCAACAAGACGTCAAACAAGACTCGATTATCTGGCAGGAAGATGAAAAAAGATTCTGCGAGATGCAAGACGCAGAGCTGGAGAGATGGAAGAGAGACCAGACCCAAAAGGCAGAGGACTGACATTTCCGTGGCAGCATCGCTGGGTTTCGTGGAGCTTGCCTCAGCTCTCCTGCATGGGGCTCCTCCCTGCGTCGTAAATTTCATTCAGTTTCTTTCTTTGCCATTTGGGCATGCTAGGCATTTCAGGCATGAAAAGGTCCTGGTCACACCCAGATCCCCACCCTTTTCAGATTGGACTGCTCGAAAGAGTGCAGATTTGGAGGTGCGAACTTCATTTTCGGGCACCGTTCGTGTCCCCCGGAACGCGGTTCTCCGGTTCGATTCGCTCGCGGCCAGGACCGGCTACGGCAGGTGCAGCAGGTGATCCGCGACCGAGAACTGCAGTCGGAGGAGGTCTTCCAGCGGCGTGAAGCCGAACGAGAGCAGAAGCTCATGGAGGACAAGCGCTTGGTGCAACGTGCCTGCCGAGAGATGGAGAAGGAGGGACTGGTGGAATGGGAGTGGGTAGTGGAGGATGGGAGTGGGATGGGAAGACAGTCGCGTTTCGTGAAGTTGGAAATTTTCGACCAGTTCCCCAAGAAGTCCCCAGGATTCTATGGGTCCAGGTGGATGCTTTGGGAGTGCCCGGTGCCCGTGCCGCCAGGAACAGCAAGCCGTCGCGGAACGCCGGCAGCAGTCGCGCTTGGCGCAAGCGGCGGCGTCTCAGGAGGCCATTCAGAACAAGCAGAAAGGCCCAGCCGCACGGCAGAGGCCACGGCTAATCCTGTTGGTTAGATGCCACTTTCATGAAACCCGTCTTCGGCCAAACTGCATGCACTGGGAAGCATGTGACGAAGGAGAAGAATTGACATTCCTCAATTTTGGAGGAGTCTTTTTTAATATTCAAGGGTTGTTTGTTTGTCTTTTTTGTTTCTTCTATTTGGTACTCAAGGAAAGGAAGGAATTAATGAAATTACATAAATAATGAATGAATGAAGGATGAATGAAGGAAGGTAGGTAGAAAGGAAGGAAAGAAGGAAGGAAGGAAGGAAGGAAGGAAGCAGGGAAGAAAGGAAGAAAGGAACGAAGGAACAGACAAACACAGGATTGAATAAAGAAAGGGCAGCAGGAAGCACGGAGGGAAGGAAGGCAGGGAGAAAAGTTTGAAAGGAAGAACTATCAGGAATAAATAAATAAATACAGTAAATAAATAACTACATATATACTGTAAATATGTATACATACACACACACACACATATATATATATATAACAAGCCAAAGAAGGTTGCAATGCATTCCCTCGGTTTGGCGCTTTCTGGGCCTGGCCAAGAGAACAGAGTGTCAGGTAAAGTGGCTCCTTCCTTCGGGCATGTGTCAGTTTTTTGTTGGAAGGGGCCATTCCAACCCAGAGTTCCTTGTGTGAGACGCTTAACGGCAAACATTTGAGCAAGGAAGGAGCCATGGAAACTTGATGAAACTTGGAATAGTTTTTGTGAGCCGCCTGAGGGTAAAATTTAGAGAAGAAAGGAGCCATGAACACGGGGTATGGCATAGCATTTGTGAGCCGCACGAGCTAGCATATTTGTCAGAGGTTCAAACGTAGCATACCTTGTGTGACCCACCAGGTGCAATTCAGAGGAGGAAGGGGCCATTCCAACCTAGAATGCCATTTGTGGGCCACCCAAAGGTCAAATTTAAGGGAGACGGCCGCCCGATTTTCACATTTGGGGCAGGAAGGGGCCTTTCCAATGTAGCACACCTTTTTCTGAGCCAGTTGAAGGTAACACAGAGAGAGAGAGAGAGATAGCTAGCTAGCTAGCTAGATAGATAGATAGAGAGAGAGAGAGAGAGAGAAGGGAGTTGAGGGGAGCGTGTCTCGGTGGCCTCATGGTCATGATGATGATGGTGATGATGATGGTGGTGCTCCATGACTCTGCAGTTGTTTTGTGGACTCGCCTGTTTGATCTTTTTTTTGGCGATCAATTGATTTGTCATGGGAGGCGAATAGATGAGGAGAAGCAGATCTTGCAGGATTACATCGATCTGCTCGAGAAGCAGGAAGCAAGGAGAAAGGCAGGGAAAGATCAGAAATAGAATAGACTAGAATAGCACCAGCTTCTTCTACTGAACTGCGATGACTGGGTCATCACAGACAGCGGCCACCACCAGCCGGACGGACGAACAAGACGACTCGTCACCGGGTCTTCTCAGTGGTGGCGCCCGCCAGCGGTGGCTGTTCGATGATGTTAGGATATGAAGCCCGCCCTAGCTTCCAGCCCCCCAAAACAAGCATAGAATCATCGTCATCAGCATCAGCATCAGCATCATCCTCGTCATCGTCGTCGTCGTCATCATCATCACCACCATCATCATCATCGGCCCGGGCTTTTGCACCTGCAATGGAATGGACAGAACAACACCTGAGGGCAAGCGTCCCACCTTTGCCGAGACTTGGGCTTCACCTGTTGCAGAACTGCACCAGCTACATATGAACCACCCCGTAGATACCTCAGGATCCAGTCCCTTATTCCTTACTAAGCTCCAGTCAGTGATTTTCCCCAGACTGGCTCTCTCTGCGCCAGGCCACCAAGCCCAAGATCCGGGACCAGTCCCCGAGCTTGCCGCCGCGTGTGAAGCGCAAGGGTGAGGAACTCTACTACGACGAGGAGCTTGTGAGGAAGATCCACGCCGAGGCCATGGCACGGCAGGAGCAGGCAGAGGTGCGGAAGGAGGAACGCTTGAAGATGGAGCGGCGCCGCAATCAAGAGCAGCTTGGAGTTTTGGAATGAGTTGGGAGGGAGGTTGAAAGATGTTTAAGGAAAGCAACATAGAGCGACCGTGAAATAGATCTATATAGATAGATAGATCACAAAGGCAGAAAAAGAGACTTCACGAGAAATGTCTTAGCTTTGATTTGTGACTGTCGTTTCACGGTCTGCCAACTGGGATGAGACTCGCGGATGGTCACAGCTGGTCACCAATCCGGCACGGCAGGTTTCTCTCCCAGCAGATTGCGGAACGAGATGAGCAGAAGCGCTCCGTTTTGGAGCAGAAGGGCGGTCAAAAGGCCGCCGCCCAAGCGGCCGCCGAGGAGGCTCGGCAGAGTGAGAAGCGACGCATGCAAGAGCGCCGGGCGAGGCGTGGCGGGGCGCATTGAAGGCTGCAACTTTGCATCCAATTCGTTTGTACTGTAGCCTGTTGCCCCCCCCCAACCTTGAAAGAATAGGAAGGGAAGTGGCCGGTTCGGTTCCTACCCTGCCAGGTATCTCCAGAACCGTTTGGAGTTGGAAGGTCAGATGTGCAATAAGAAGACCTTGGCGAAGTCACGCGAAGACGAGATGAGTCGAGCAGAGAAGGCGATCAACCGGCGCTATGTGATCGAAAGCTATCAGAAAACCACCGAAGGCTTGAGTCCCCGCGACGACCGGTGTGAGAGTGGAGATTAAGGCGGAGGAAAATGACTCAAAGTTGCACCAGAAGAGAAGAAATGGTTGTGGGTCAAGACTCTCCAAGCCACAGGTGCCACAGGTGCCTTGGTCGTTGGCTCAAGTTGAAACAGTGTTTATCCTTACAACGTACCCGGACCCACAGCCAACATCGCACACATAGCTCATACCTGTTCACTCCAATTGGAGACTTTGGCGCTGAAACGTGAGCGCTGAAAAATGGGCACGGGGAATCGCCGCTGGGAGCGCTGGTGCTGCGTGGGTGGAGATCAAACACGAGCCATAATGAGCTTCAATAGGCCTGCGATAAAAGGCACCCAAAGCATTTCACGTGGAGAAAGGAGGATCTGATGGTTTCCACTTGAAATCCGGACTCGCTGGCTCCCGATTTGAGGACGACCCATTTGCACCCTCATGGGCCATAGGTGGTGGCGAACATTTATGCATGGTCCCCTGCAGGTTCCTGTAAGGACGTGTTGGCTTTAGATGGCCTTGCTCCAAGAATGGTCCAGTCCTGTACCCTAAGGCACAGAACCCCGAAATCTTTTGTGGCAGCTGCACGTGGAGATGCGCGCGACACAAAGCCGACACAAAGCCGTGGAGACCGACCCCCGAGCCCCCGTGCCCCCAGTGGTCAGTAGTTGGGAACCAGCGCAGGTGAGGTCGGACCCTCCGCGCCCGCCAAGTTCTCGTGTGACTTCGCCACCCGAGGTTCCTACAGCACAACATCGAGCCCCCACCCATGACGCCGCCGGGGAAGAACCGGGCCCGTTCCGGGACTGGAAGCAAAGACGAGGTGCGGGTTCGGGGATGGGCAAGGGATTAGGGCCCTCATTACTTCAATAAATGCATGCCGAGGACCAGAGCATGACAACTTGACACCACTTGGAAGACGCTGCAGTCGATAGTGAACATGAGCAGCCAAAAACCTGGCGTCGCCTGAGCAGAAGACCATGCTTCATAGTGAGAAACAAGGAAAAACAAAAAAAGTTAACTCACTCGGTGAGCGCCTGGCCCAGTTCCCCTTTTGCAGTTCCTGTCCCCAGCTCCCTTTCCTCCCTTTCCTCGCCCGTGCCCGTCGCCGGTCGCGCTCCGCAGGTCGCGTCCCGTGGCGCTTCGAAGGAGGGCGGTCTGTAGGGACGGCACCTCGGTCTCGCCAGGCGAGGTGCCGACGTCGGCGTGAACGCTGCGGCGTACGAAGTGGAGGTAGAGACTCTAAGGATGTTAGCGACAGAGAGAGAGAGAGAGAGAGATATTGATATATATATATAGAATACTCTGTAAGTGTGTGTGTTCTTTTTTTGGGGGGGTTGTGGGTACCTGAAAGGGAACTTCCTTGACTTCAAGTGGGGGCACAAGATCGTATTTCGGATTTCGGCTCTTAGGTCACCAATTTTGGGTGACTGGGCACAGGTCGGCCCGCATAGATAGAAAAGCCCACTTCGTCACCCAGCCTTGAACACCGTGAGGCCTCGATTTGGGGACGAGCATCAGGTCTGCTGAAGGGGGATTTTACTAGAGTCAGGGTCCTTTCCAACAAGGATATTCTGTCAGGCACCTGTCCAAAAGTGCACAGCTGTGGTCACGATGGTTCGGGTTCGGTGTTGTTTCTGCACCCTTTTGCCTTTCTTGCCCTCTGCTTCCCAAGCTTGTTTGCAACTGCCTGTCCAACCTACTTGGGTGTATCATGGTTTATCCGGAGATCATGATACAAACAATGCAACTGCACGCAGCGTGTCGTCTTGGGGGTTTCTTCCTCTGAGCTGCGACCCTTGCCCAAGAAGCGGCTACCAGCGGAGCTGCTGGTCGAAGGCATTGGAGCAGGTACAGCTGCACAGTCCTGGAAGAAAATCGACCCTGCGGATCCCCATGGTGGTGGAAAACGTGGAGTTATAGTAGTGCTTTTGGTGGCCCTGGTGGACCATCATTTGTTAGATGAGACCCTATGACATATACGATAGTTGTGGTAGGGTTTCGGTGGGTGCCACACAGATGGCTGGTGCTCATGCTCGTGTGGCAAAGATCTATACACTTCTTTTTGCAAGCTGTGGGTCCCCCCAACACTGCAGTAGGATGTTGGATGGACATGAATCGTCCAGACTGGAACTAGGCTCCCTCCACCCGACGTCCCACCCCTTCAGGTCCTCAGTGCCATGGTCCTCCGCGCTCCACCGAGCACGCGCCCAAACCGCGCAGAAGACTGTGAGCCCAAACCATGGGCTCCTTCTTCCACGGTCGCAAAGTCCTCCACCACTCTGAGTCAACAATGCGGCCGAGGCTGAAACGTGGAGCACCAGACTTGTTGGGGCCAAGACTTTCTTTTTGAAAGAAGGACGTGAGGTAGGAGAAGGGGCTTTGACTCATTTATGGTGAGAGGCCCCCGCGCACTTGTGGGCCTGTAGGAAGCTAGTGTCTCACCCAAGCGCCGTCGATCGGGTGCTGCAAAATGGCTGAGAGCTGCAGTGGGTCTCGCACTCCCATCGACCCCACCGCGACGCCACGGCATGCCAAGGCCTTTGCAGGGGACCACACCTGCTTGGCAGCTTTTTGGAAGTGCTTTTCTCAACCTGCTGAGGGACCATGTCATGACAGCAAGGGATGATTGAATGATCCAACCAAAAGTGCCCAAGCTGATCCCCCCGTGCCAGGGTGCAGGTGACCATGGAGACCAGGATTCACTCGCATGGAAATGGCAAAGCCACTTGTGGTGGGGGAAAGTCGTTTGGCCACGGATCATGCATGTTTGTGTAGCAGAGGGATGTCCTCATCTGCCACGGTTTTGCGCGCTTGTTCCTCAGTCGATTCTTTGCCAGGCTTGGCGGCTGGTCTCTTCTTCGTTGGATGCCGATGAATTCAACCAAAAAGCGTGAGTGGCAGCAGAAAGAGACCCATGAACCACACGGTCTTTCTTTTTTGGACTTTTCGTCACTTTATTGGAAGGCCATGTAGGCCTAATAGGTATGTCTATGGCAGGTGTCATGAGATGCTGAGGCCAACCGCCCAGGTATCCCCCTGAATATGTGCAAAATGTGCGCAATCTTGCTGAGACTCACGTGGCCCTGTCTGAATCTTACAGCCATTTGCCTCTAAAGGTAGGCCATGGAGATTGCGAGGCATGTTTCACCCGGCCATGGAATCTGCCCTGTGTTGACCATTTTCCTTGTGCGGGAAACAGGTCAGGCACAATGAAAAGGGAGTGGGGGCTGGAAGCAACTGCGTGCTTTGCAGCTTCAAACTGTGCAGACTATATTTTACAAAATAGCCATAATATTCTACAATATAATGAATACATAGTGGAATATGGATTAAATATTATTGCAATATTCTTGGCACCCCTTGGGGTATACCCCAGGGGTATAGCACAACATGTCATGACGGTGTGGTCCATGGCACGTTTTCACGACCTTCCCCAGGTAATTAAGCACTACAAATTTACTGTAAGATGTTTTGATTGATGCAACTGCCTGGGTTGTACCCTTTGAGAGCTCCACACCTGCGCCCACACATCGCCACATCACATGCGACCCCTGGTGTGGTAACATTGGCTCGAGGGAAAAGGCCTGGCCCCTTTTTGGCCGAACCGTTTTAAAGGCCTGACTTGGAGTGGGTGACGATCACGAGGACATCAGAAGACTACAACAGGCGTGTTGGGCATCTTTGGCCTACTAGACTACCAGTTGTCAACTTGGAAGTGCGCTTACCCCCAACATGATCCAACTCCTAAGACCAGAACCAAGAACGAGAGGATCAAGAGAGGGGAGAGGGCCCTTGCGCGATGCTGTGAATCTTTGCGCGGATGGTCTTGGCATTCTCGCGGCTTCGCAGTCAGATCAGTCTAACTGCACTCCTCCACCTGAACGGCAGCGTCTTTCCCTTCGCCACCAAAGTGGCCTTTCCATGTGCCGCCGTGTCTCTGCGGAGAAACAAGTTAGGACACATATCATATATATATATATATATCTCTCTCTCTATAATATATTAATATACGAGTCGGAGTCTTGCGACCGGACAGCCAATTTGCATGAATGATCCTTGCTACTCAAGCCCAGTTCAAGGCCATTTTTCTGGATGCATTTGCTTGACTCTGCGACGGATTTGCTGTATAAGAAGTTTAGCACTGGCACCCGGCCCCGGCAAAAGTGAAACCATGTCCCATGACTAATGACCCTCCTTGGTTCGAAGGGGATTCTTCTGTGGCAAGCTGGCCTTCCTGGCCTCCCTGGCCTCCAAGCCGGAGATCTTAGGTGGCCTTCGTCCTGAAGTTGGCGCAGGTGGAGGAGTGGCCAAAGCTCAGTGAAGCCTTAGCCCATGCCGAGATGGATGCCACGGTCTACAACGCCTTCTCGACGCTGCTGGGGCCGCGGCCTCAGAAGCACGACGGGTTCGTGTCGGGTCGAAGTCGTTTCCCGGGCCTTGAAGTGATCGGTTTTGCCTTTGAAGACGTCGTGACCGATCACATGTTTGTTTTACATGGGAGCACGGGGGGAGCGAGCCTTGACGTTCATCGTTGATTCGAGTTCACGTGCGGAACAGGATCTTGGTGGTCTTCAGAACTGGCCAAGCCTACAATCGATTTTGGGATGGGAGCACTCTCACGCACCAGATGCGCGGAGACTGGTTTGATGCCGCGAGCAGCATCATCTCCTTCACAAGGACCGGTTTCGCAAGCGAAGCAAGCGAGGTGTGAGGTGAAGGCAAGCGGCTGATTTCCAAGAGCGCTTTGACTTGACTTGACATCAGACAATTGATTCGGCCGCAGTCACGCAGATCTCATAATGGTTGATGAAGAAAAGTGCCTGCCCAGTTCACCTTTCAAGTCATAGTCCATTTTGGTTGATCTGGGTTCTCTTGCCTGGAACTCCGCTTCAAACATGTTTAAAGTGCTTTTCATGTCACCGTATCTCAGCTGGATCATTTTGCTGTGTTCTCTGCCCTCCGATTCGACCGCCGAAGACCAAGCGTTCCACCCGTTCCGCCCGTTCCTCGCGGCCGTTCCCGGCCGACGTGGAACGATGCGCCCCAGGACCTCCAAGGCGGATCGCGCCAAGCTCTGGGAGTTTCGGCAGATCGTCGTCCGGCTCTTCAGTGTCTCGGGGAACCAACGTCCGGGAGCGGGAGCGGACCGTGGGAAGGTACGGTACCGCGTGGGCAGCGGTGCGGTGCGGGTGGGAAGGTGTGAGCCTGGTGCTTCTTTTCGGAGAATCTGTGATGTTGCACAGGTGTCCTTTGGGATGACTCAGGCATGCTGCATGCATTGAGCCTGGCTGAGCTAGAGGACGATGATGATGAAGATGAGGATCGCTGGGCCTATCGGTTGCGCGCCTCGGCACATCATGCACATAAAGTCAACAAGATTCATGGCTGCAGGATGCTAGGACTAGGATTTTTGGCAAGGACAGACAGACTCTGCAGAAACTGCAGACCGAGTGGCAGAGTGGACCCTTGACAATTTTGCGGGGCACAAGTCATGCCTTGGCCTTGACTTTCACGTGCACAGGTGTGATTGATGGCGTTGGCATCGACATTACCTCCTTGAAAGCCCTGAAGAAGGCCGAGTGCAAAGTGGAGTTGGTTTTTCATTGGATTCAATCCATCGTGGTCACCAGCATCTTGGCTGATGCTCTTCTGCTGCTTGGTGTCATTGTTCACCATTCTCGTCACGTTTTGTTTGATCGTCGAAGTGTTCGGGGGTGTCTTTGCATCATGCAACCTTGGGTAATTGCAACATTGCAGTCGGAATGCCATGTATCCGGAATCCAACTTGGGGTTCATTTCAGCAATCCGCCATGGAATTTATGTAATTATAGAGAGTTCATTACCCATTGCGTTCATTTTCCCACCCTTTATCCGAATCCTTGAGCAAACGACGCTGCCCCCACTGAGATGAGACATGCAATTAATATCAGATCAACAGGTGAACTTGTTTCCTGCCCCTATCTTTCTGAGAGAAGTTCCAACCACCCAGATCCTGAACTAAACCAGCACGGCCTTGAGCCGCTGGGTTTACAAGCGAAGATGGCTCGGGCTGATCCGAGGCATTGATTGTGGCATCATGTCTGCACCCTCGCCGATTCTCACCAGAGCTTACAGCGAGCTGGCCAGCGGCATGGTGAAGTTTCACGATTGCTTCTTGGCAGAACTGGACCTGGCTGTCACTGTCAGGAGAAGAATCTGATCGCAGAGGGAAGAAACCAAAAGTTGATGGGAGTTTCAGGATCCCAACAGATTGTTTGGGTCAGATTCACTGCTGCCTTGGCCGCTTTCAGCATGGTTTTCCGGACAGTCTGAGGGGCCAGTTTGGGGCTCTTTTCCAATAGCCGAAGCGGAGTTGAGGGACATCAGATACCCACAGACAACATGTGGAAAAACACGCGAGCTTTGAAACATGCTGGATCATCCACGCTGCACTACCGAGACAGCACGAGACTCCATGGCCTCCGCGCCAGGTTTGAAAATTGCGCGAATTGCCGTGCCTTTCCCCTACTCTCAGGCATGGAAGGGTTTGCAAAATCTCGTGGCACGAAGGATCTCGTGGCACGAAGGATCTCGATAGGGCATACAGACCCAGTTGGAGGAGCTCATCAGTTGGCCAGCATGCTGTGCATGAGGCCTAAGGCCCTCCTTGAATTATATGGACTCTGAAGCAGACGATCACCATCATTTGCTGAGGGGTGCTCACAAACACCATCCCCAACAGCTCCAGCTTCACCACTCTGGAGCTTTTTGCCGTTTTTGCCACCAACAGCAACTTGATATACTTCCCACTGAGGACACAAGAGTGAGCGAAAGTACCTTCAAATTGTATTTGCACGATTGTACACCTGTACATACCATATTGACCTCTATGTTTGGCTCAAGAAAAGGGCGCTCTACATGTTGGTACTTGTAGGCTGTTGGCCTGTAAATTCAGGTTATCAGCCGTATTGCCAAAGAGCGGTACGCGCCATTCTAGCTGTGTCACCTACCCACCCTCGTTCTGCGCACACGTGAGGTGGCATGGCGGACAGGCCCTTCAAACCAATTCGAGATGGCACGGATCGATCGAGGTCAAGAGTCGGTGATGCCGATGAGAATGGGTCATATGTACAGACGGAAGTCTTCACCTCAGAGCATGATGAGGATGCGTTGGTTGAAGCACATGGGAACGTGTTGCCACCAGCTACATCGACTGGTGCGGTCATCCTGTCTCCCACGAGCCCTGCCTTCGTTCCGTCGAGTACATACAACGATTCGAGACAAGTCATTAACCAAACGGCGAACTTCCACGACCAAAGAATGATAAACGTCAACCTGGACAAGTCCGCTGAAGTCGCACAACTTGCAGAAGCGCGACACAGGGAACTGATGTCCAAGAAAGACGAAGAAGTGAAGAAGACAGTGGAAGCCATTCACCGAGAGGCACACGACCATGTCAAGGAGCAACTCGAGTTACAAGAACGAAGAGCTGCATCTTGGGCTGCAAACGAGCAAGCTAAGATGAATGCACATGAAGCAGTCATCAAGAATGCTGCGTTGACTGAAGCTCAACTATACAACCACAACTTGACAGAGTTACAACAACAAGCGCAGAGTCGTGAATCGCAACTGAGGGAAGAGTTGAGAACACAAACAGAGCTCATTAGAGAACTTCGAGAGAAAATGGAAACATCTGCTCGAGGGAACTATGAGCCTGCTGGTACACCGGCTAACCTCAGGACAACTCTTCCAGGTCCGATGGGTTCAAACGAGCTACCTCTTGGTCAACCATATCGATCAATGCAGAAATCAATGACTGATAGTTCCGGTGAACCCTACCGTGAAGCTCTTGCAAGTGGAACGGTTAATGCTCCGAAAGTAGCTGGAGGTGGTCCTCCTGATCATCCCAGTTCATCAAGTTCGTCTTCATCCGATGACAAGAAGAAGAGCAAGAAAGACAAAAAGAAGAAGAAGAAAGATGACAAGGAAGAGAAGCGTGGCAGATCACCCCGCAAAAAGAACAAAAAGAAAAACAAAAAGGGGTCACCTTCACCGTCCGAGTCACCTTCATCGTCGAGCTCGTCTTCTGAGGATTCATCCTTTGCCCGGAAGGTTAGGAAACATTTGAAGAAGATGAAGAAAGAGGATCGTGAACAGAGGGCCAAAGAGGCTGAAAAGATCCTCATTCCCAAGTTTCCTACACCTGAAAGGTATAGAGATTGGCGAATTAAAGTTCGGGACAATGTGTCGGCGGCGTCCGCTAAGCCGGACAAGGCTAGGTTATGGCTAGGTAAGGTTTATGAAGACGCCGTGACCACTAAGGACCTGGATGACTCTGAGGGTTTCATCACGCTGGATGCAAAACTCCTCTCAAGTCTCACGAACTGTGCGGAGGGGGACCTTGCTCGCCAACTCAACACATTTAAGGAGACCAAAGAGAAAGCAAAAGAACCGATAAAGGGACGACAAATCCTACTGTTGTTCCATGAGTATTTTGCTACATCCATCAAACACGGTGCTATTTACGATGTTGAAGATCTTATCTGTGTTAAGATGGTGAACGAGGACCTGAAAGGTTTTGTTACGCGATGGGAGTCTGTTATCGCGGGGATGCGAACGGAAGTTGACAAGAAATGGCTTGAGGCATATTTTCATCTTGCTGTGAAGAACTTTAAGCCTCTAGCTCATGATCTTGCCATCTACGAACGCGCCTCGGAAGGGAGTGCCGAAAAGACTTACGACTTTTTGATCAAGTCAGCCAAGGCATACCTTGAAAGGAAACGTTTGGAAAAGATGAGGGATGCCACGAAACGTAGTCTTGGAGGTAAAGACCCTGCAGCTCCTGTCATCGACCCAAGTGACAAAAAGCCAAAAGGTGTTTGCTATGAGTTTCAGAACAAAGGGAAGTGCAGTAGGCGCGACTGCCCATTCAAACATGAGAAACCCCGTGAATCCAGCAAAGGGAGGCCCAAAGGTGGTGGAAAGGGTAGATCTTCTTCTTCACGTGGAAGGTCGTTGACTCCGGGATCGAGATCGGAAGTTTGCAAGTTTTGGAAATCTGGTGATTGTCACCGGGGAAAGAACTGTGCTTTCAAACATCCCGATCGTTCTTCAACACCCGCACCAAGTGACGACCGGAAGAAACGAAAGAAGAAGAAGGAGAAAAGAGAGAAGAAGAAACGAAGTACTTCTCGTGGCTCCAACGGTTCTGGCGGTAGTCAGAAATCCAAAGGTGGGAAAGGTACTCCTTCTAACCCAGCCGCTGTTTGCCTGCTGCGCACTCTGGTCTTAGCTACTGCGGTCTCATCATCACAGTCTGCTACTATCAGATGCCCGTTGGAAAGCGTGGCCATGGTTGCTACACCTGCCACCAGTTCTTCCCCTTCATCTTCTTCAGGACGGGGAAAGGTGAAACGTCTTTCTTTTGCTGACAAACCAGAAGTTTTTAAACACGTGGTTCATTGCAATTCTTTAATGTTTCCAGTTGTTGCGCGAAGACAAAGAAAGCATGTCAGTTTCCCAATAGACCACAAAGGAAACGCTGAAGTTTTGGAAATGGCATCTGAAGATGCATGCATTGCAGCAGATCGTTTGAGCAGAGCTGTTTCAAACGAGTTGAATGGCGTCGAGGCACGTTGTGGCTATCTTTGCGATTCGGAAATGGGATGCAAGCATTGTTTTAAGAACCAAAGGGTTACAATGCCTGCGACCGAGATCGCATGGATTGCAGATACTGGCAGTGCGAATGATTTGGTGTCTAGGGAAATGGTCAATCGCAACGAAGTGTTTGAATCCTCGAAACCGGTTAGTCTTCTTACAGCTAACGGAGTGTTCCAGGCTAATGATCAGGCCAATCTTGATATTCCCTTGTTGGGAATCACTGCAAAACCATATGTACTTGATGATAGTCCGGCAGTGATATCCGTGGGACAATTATGTATTGATCATGATTGGTCGTTCGTTTGGCCGTCAAATGATACGCCGTATTTCAAAAAGCCAAATGGGCAGAGGATCAAGCTTCTAGTGAAGGACTATGTTCCTTATCTACCATCAACCAGTGGTATGGCTATGACTGCTATCGGGCACAAGTATGAAGAACATGCTTCCGGGAACGGCAAGTCTTCGTACATTCCGATCCCTACTTCACCTAGTGTAGAGGAAGCACCCCATGAGTCTGCTGAGGCAGAACCCGAAGCAATCGATGCCAGGTTAGTCCCCGATCCACCAGCAGAAAAGCGTGATCGTGGTGAACAAGCCTTGAGGCGAGAAGCAAAGTCGCTTGCGCATTTGTTGACGCATGTTCCCAAGAACCCTTTTTGTACAACATGTTCAAGGGCTAAGATGACTAAGCCACCATCATACAAGAAGGGAGGATCCGAAACTGTTGATGCTGACAAGTTTGGTGATCACATCACTGTTGATCATCTTATTCTTCGGGATGACGAAGAAGAGGCTATCGATGGTTCAAGAAACGCCCTAGTCGTTAAGGACATAGCTACGGACTTTAGATATGTATATCCGTCGGCTAGGAAAACGACTAGAGATTGTGTTCTTGCATTGAAGCACTTCACCCGGGGACGGGATGACATTGGTGTGTTCTATTCAGACAATGCAGAAGAGCTTGTCAAGGCAGCATCAGAACTGAAGTGGAGACACGTTACAAGTGTTCCGTATATCTCCAAGAGTAATGCTCAAGCAGAGAGGAGTATTCGATCCGTTCTTGATGGAACTCGTATCAACCTTGAACAGGCGGGTTTGCACCATACATACTGGACGCATGCTGCCAGACATTGTTGCATGGCGCACAACATTCTCGGTGATCAGGAGTCTCAAACGCCATGGCAACTCAGGTTCGATGAGAAGTTCAAGGGACCAATGATTCCTTTTGGAGTGAGGATTGACTATTGGACCGGACCAAAAACCAAAACCAAAGAAAAATTGAAATTCGATCCTACCTCACTACCAGGAGTGTTTTTGGGATACAAGATTCACCCTGAATTCTCATGGAGGAAAGAGTTCCTTGTTCTCCCTCTCAAAGAGGTGATGGACAACAACTTTGATAGTAGTGTGCCATGGGTTGGAACGAACAAACTCGCATTGCCTGACGGAGATTTTGTGTTTCCATTGAAGGACAGGTATAATGCTATCCGTGAGGGTCGCATTCCATGCTACATGATATCGGACGATCCTCCAAAACCGGAAGACGAGGACGCTAAACCGGTGGAGGAGTTGATTGACAAAGGTCCGATGGAAAGTGGCAAAGAACTCAAAGTCCCTTCGACTGAGGGAATGATTGATCATCCTAAGAAGGATGCGTTTGAGAGTGGGATTTATGATCCCGGTGAAGATGAAGAGGGCAAAGGAGGTTCCTCATCATCCTCATCCGGTAAGCCCAAAGATCCACCCAAGGATCCTTTCGAAGGCGTTCCACCTGAAGACATGGTTGAGGTTGTTGATCCTGTTACAGGCGAGGTGACCTCAATCCCAAAAGAGGGATCATCATTCTACAGCGCGGGGGGATATAAAACTAGGAAA